AGTTTAACCTTTGGAGTGCGACACAGTGTCGTACTCCATTTCGGCTGAAAAGCTTCCAACACACCAGCCATTCTTCGCGATTTCCAGCTATAATTGGCGTACACTTTTTTAAAACACAGTCAACGATAAGGACAAACTAGGAGTGAGTACTTACGTTAGAATCTATGTTGGCAACAAGCTTTTTAATCAGTTGTTGCCTTGGGATGCGGGAGTCTGATGGATCGCCAGAGTTTTGCTCCTCTGCTTTTTTGTTAAGGCTTTCCTTTTCGGCACCGTCTAACAGTCTGTACTCAATGTTAGCCTGCTTTTGAACAGCGCCAGGGCCATGCCCATCGGCTAACATCTTATGAGCTTAATAAAGAAATGATATAATTACGCGTTAGATAACTCGTGTGTGAATTTTATGTTTAATGTAATTCACTTGAAATGACCAATGAAATTACCACGGTCATACATTCAGTTGTTTTGTACTGAATCGCACAAAGTGCGCAACAGCATCATCCCAAAAAATGTTTTTGTCTGTGTCTTGTATGAGTGCTTTGATCTAAAAATGATAAAAAATAACTTCACACTAATTAATTCCATTCTTTTCTACCTAATTTAACATCTATATACGCCTATACCCAAATGCAGTAACATTCATGTTAGTATCAAAATATGCCGTAATAAATCAATTTGCAGCGTATAGTTACATACATAAACAGAACACGTACCTTTTTCGCTGGACAGAAACGAACTCTTAAATACAGAGTATCCAGATTTCTTCCTTTTTTTACCCAGCACGTACTTTTGGGCACCATTATCTGAGTCTCTTGGTCCCCTTTTTGTCGCTAATCCACGCCTCTTTCGTTCATTTCCAATCCAATACTTTGAGATATAAAATAACGCATAAGTCAATGGAGTTAAAATATCTCAGGAAAAGTGCATCTTAAATGGTAATTCCAGTGTGTATAAAACTCATACCAGCAAGGGTATTCAAGCTTGCAGGCTGATTTTCCTTATCATTAATGTGTGGCACATATAGTATATGAGTTCAGTTACCATGGACGGATTATCCAATCATATAAGGAATTCTAATACTGATACCATAGGTATTTTTAATAGTTCAAGTAAACATGTTAACTTGTTAGGAGGAGTATGCTGCTCAAGGTTAGTTTATATCAACTATCCTAACATACCTTGATTGTTTTCTCTGTTAAACCAGTGGCTTGCACCGCTTCCGATAGCTTCTTCTTGTCACCTGCACTATTCAGCCCAGCCTCCCACAATTCACGTAAATGATTAAGTTGTTCTGCACTTAATTTGGTAGGTGGCATCTAAAACAGAATAATGGGATGATCGTAATTAACACACAAATTATTGGATTGCACAGAATGAAATAATTGTAGCACAAACATATAAGTGGATTGTAATGAGATCACTGAAAATAAAACACAACTTTCAGTGGATTGTAATGAGATTATGATCATAATTCAATAATTACTATATTGTAGTATGGTATGAAATTATTGGATTGCAACTTAATTATTGTAACCCATAAATTATTGGACGGTCATACAATTATTGTAACCCACAAATAATTGGATTGCTATGAAATAATTGTAATCCACAATTTATTAAAGTGTAATGAGATGATTGTAACCCACAAATAATATTGGATTGTAATGAGATGGTTGTAATTAAAAAATTATTGGATTGTAATAAGATGATTGAACTCTGCAAGTTATCGGATTGTAATGAGATGATTGTAATCCACAAATTATTGCATTGTAATAGGATTATTGTAATCCACAAATAATTGGATTGCATTGAGATGATTTTAACCCACAAATTATTGGATTGTAATAGATGATTAAAACCCACAAATTATTGGATTGTAATAAGATGATTAAAACCCACAAATTATTGGATTGTAATAAGATGATTAAAACACACCAATTTTTGGATTGTAATGAGATGATTGTAACCCACAAATGATTGGATTGTATTGAGGGGATTGTAACCCACAAATTATTGGATTGTAATAAGATGATTGTAACCCACAAATTATTGGATTGTATTGAGGGGATTGTAACCCACAAATTATTGGATTGTAATAAGATGACTAAAACACACAAATTATTGGATTGTAAGGGAGGTGGTCAAAACAAGTGAACTTGATTAGGACCCGCCTTGACTAAGGGTGGAGAGGCTATACCAGACACAACCAATCTTTTGAACCTGATAGAGTGCATGTTATTAACTTGAAAATTTGAGATAAGACGTTCATTGTTTGTGTGCATGAAGCTTGCATTGTCAGGCAAACTGCACAAAGACATTTAAATCTTTTTACCTATTTTTCACCATGAGAGACAGGGGGCTATTCAAAGGAGACACTATAATTTTTGGTGGGGAAGGGGGGGGGGGGGGG